GTGTGTGTGTGTGTGTGTGTGTGTGTGTGTACGCGTATGCGTATACAGCTAAATTATATCTGAAGATGCTTTTACTATGAATTAAAATGTAAAACCCTGACTTGTTGGTTCAGCTGGTTGTCCTTTAACTTTATATGTACTACATCACTCCTTCGGAATGCAAGCACAAGGTACACAAGTACAGTATATGACATGGCAAATACTTTGTGGACACCTGATTAGACCTGAAATTACACCATGTGATTTATTTATTTTTTGTCACATCTTTACTTGGAACGGTTGCCGTCATATTTTGGAATCAAGTTAGAAAGATTTATGTTTCTTAAGTTTGGTAAGAAAAGTTACATAACACAGGGTCAATAGAGCAGTGAAAGGTGAAAAACAGGTCAGCTCAGCAGTGCAATAAGAGCATTAAATTCAAATACAATAAAAAGAGTGCAATATAAAACTGTAACATGATATACATTAGAGGATGCAAGTTTAAAACTAAAGTGACTAGTATACTGTAAAGGAATATGTGTGTTTATATATAAGGTATACAGCATGTTTGCTGTAGAGGATTATTGACGTGACTTGAACTATGAGTTTGTCCTGATGGCCTGGTTATAATAGTTTGTCTGATGTCACAAAATGCATATTAATTATGACTGGCTGGCACCTTTAGGTGTTGAACAGGGTTGAGGTCAGGCCGCTACTCACGGTGGTTTTTCCACACCAATCACTGTCGTATGTTGTTGCATTGACATTTAATGGAATATAGCAGGGCTAACCCAGAGCCGAAAAAAACCGACCTAGACCCAAAAACATAATAGATTTTAGAGATAGAACTGTTCTTGGAGAAGTCTTTATACTTATTTTCCCTTCTTGCAAAGTTCTTCTCACAACTGGAGTACATACTCTAAGCAACTAATTTTTTTTTATGTATATCTTTTGGGCTTTTATGCCTTTAATGGACAGGACAGTTGAAGAGAGACAGGAAGCAGGGGACAGAGAGAGGGGGAATGACATGCAGTAAAGGGCCGTCCGATGCGGGATTCAAACCGGGGCCCACTGCAGCGACGACAACCCACTATGCTACAGACCACCCCTAACTCATTTTTACAAGACAGTCTGAATACTTTAAACATGGACACACCTTTTTATTATATTAAAAACAGTTCCTTCTAATCAATGTTGTTATTTTGGTAATGTGTTCGGCTACATGCGGCATCTATTGCACTTCTTCGCCCAAACTAGAAAGTCAAAGTGCACATTAAATTGTCCCTTTGTTTTAAGGTAGTCCAGATCACACTGATATGTTCATTTTTCTGATAAGTTTAGTTTTGATTAGATATTTGATGCTGTAAAGATGGTGAAATGACATGATTGACAACTTCTCACGGTAGGTGGAGCCTGTTTATTAGTGGGACATTGGTAACATGGTGTCACACCATGATCTCTAATTCAAAGACTCCAAATTCCATCAAAACTGCAAAATGGCGGCACTGGTTTGTGGGATATCTTGGCTTCACTTTTGTATAAAGGGATGAAGTGGAGATTCATTGTTCACCTTCATTTACAGTTTATTGGTCATGTATTTACAATGTATATATTGGTTGGATTACTAACCAAGGATGACTTGCTAACTGTTAAACTGCTCTTTCCAACATGGTATATTTACTTCCCTTTCCCTCTACGAGCTAGGGTTGTAACAACGCCCAGTGCATATGTGGCATGAAGAGGTTTCTGTAAAAACCTTAAATGATTTTATCCATTGGAGGTGGGAAGGTCGGCCATTTACTTTTTGACACATGCATAAAACGCAAATGTATAATTTTAAGTGACTTATAACCTCCGCCCGGGTGAGTATGTATTCCTGCGTTTGTCTGCTTGTCTCTCACAATCATTTATGTGAAAGACACTGGAAAGTTTACCATGAAACTTGGTGGAAGGGTTTTAGTGATGATCCTGTTACATTTTGGTGAAGATCCTTTTTTTTTTTTCCAATATATTTAATCATTGTTTTCTTTAATGCTTTTCAATTGATAGATCTGAGTAATTCATGGATCTTGATGAAAACAAGTTAAGGGTCCAAAAAGTATGAGTGTGTGCAATTTGTTGTTGAATTTAATTGTGATTTCATAAGGGGGCTGATGGGACTTTCCATGTCCTTATACCATGACTCATCAACATTAGCTGTTAAATAACCAGGTTTTGTTTTAGCTGTAATAATAATTCAGGTATTGACAATAATAGCAGTCAGAGTTTAGCATGGGGTGGTTATCTTAATTTTTTTTTTAATTCAAGTTCATTTTAATACTAAAACCAAACCCAAGGAGGAACATTTCCAACACTGTGTCCTTGTAACCTATTGGTTTAGTTGTATATAGACACACACTTATAAAGGCTAATTGAAACAAACTGTAATATTGTATTATAGTTGGTAAATTGAATTGGCTTTATTTGCAAGAAATACAACACTCATGAGAATATGATGAGAAACACCTAGGTCTGCAAAGAATGATGAAGGCTGAAAACGTTCAAGAAATCAGCAGACACGTGGTCATAAACATTTTTATTGAGATTAGTCACCAAGACTCAAGGTCACATCCTGAAAATCACTCTGCATCCCTCTTCATTTTTTTCTTAGTTACATAAAAGAAAAGAAAAAAAACTAGCCGGTGGGACAGACCAGAAAGTGCCTTATCATCATTTGCTAATTTTACAGTGGAGCGGGAACACTGTGAAATATGGACCCATCAGATTAGATCGTTATCTGGAATCAGATCAGCTAAGATAATGGTCGTGTCATGACACAAACCTTCACACATCAGGAGCAGAACGATACTTGAAATTTACTGCAGCCTGAATGAAGGGCAAGTCAAATAAAGACTGATAAGGCTTCTTCTGAAGATCTACCATAAGGATTTCACTGCCCCCTTCATCACCACAGCACTGACAAATTCACAAAGAATGTTAAATAAGATAACACTAATGTAAATCACTGCACGCAGCCTTTCCAGGTTTGGCCTTTTCTGCCCTTTCTAAACTGTGACTTTGTGTCTTGAATCCATCTTGCTAACATGATCATTTCCAGTCACAACGTAACTAAGATGTGAGTGTGTTTTCCTGGAGTCACCTGTTTAGAATTTTGGCAGGTGTCTGTCTTTCAGTCGATCAGGCCAGATTTCAATCGATGTAATTACTTCACAACCTTGAAAGATTATCATCGTGAATATTTACAAGTGTCAGGCTGAATATGAACGTGGGTGTTTTCTGACTCATGAGTGCTGGGTGGAAACAGCACTGTTTACTTACTCCTCATGGGTCAGAACATCCCATTGTAAGGTCTTTAGTTAAAAGTACAGTGTGTAGAATTTTGTGATATCTAGTGTTGCATGTTGCAGCTGAACACCCCTCACCTCACCCTCTCCTTCCAAACATGAAAACTAACTGGTAGCTTCAGTTGTCATAAAAACTCAAAAGGTGTTTAGTTTGTCCAGTCTGGACTAATGTAAAAAACATGGCGGCCTCCGTAGAGGGGGTCCCCTAGGTGTAAATATTAAGTATTTGAATATAAAGGGCCTTTTCTGGGGTAAAGAAAACTACAATTCATACAATTTAGATGAAACAAACTAGCGAAAACATCATGAGAATTATTCTACATTAAATTTCTGCCAATAGTTCCCTTTCACCTAAATCTTACACACTGGACCTTTAAGGTTGTGCTTAGCATCATTTTATTGCATTAAAATGTACTGTACTTTTGTCATTGTGTCCTCTATTGTATTGCACATGCAAACTATATGAGGTCTTCCGCATTGTTCAGAGACAACATTGTTTCATACAGGTTCTGTGTTTAATACAGTTGGTTTCTCTGTAGCTGCGTTATGATTTGAGCTGCTTTTGATTTTTGACCTTGAGTCTGTCTTTGCTGGTTGTCCTTTAACTTTTAAGTTAAGCATTACTCTTTCCATGGAAACCGAGAAACCCTTCAGAAGGACCCTGGGGAGGTAAGAACAACCCGGCTTTATGTCTGTTTGTTAATAATGGGTATTTTTATAGTAGTTTTTTTTTTTTTTTAATTAAAACAAAGTAAGTTACAAGGAATGTTTTTAGTTTGTAAAGCGTGTGCACTCCTTGACTCTCATACATCAAAGTGACAGGTAATGAGCTTAAGCGATAGAACTTTATGATGCACACTTAAAGTTTTTTATTGTTTCCACACTTGGCATGTGCTGCATGTTGACATAAAGTGCTTTTACAAAAATTACGAACTCCCATTTTTATTACCGCGTTGAATAATGGTGGATGTCATAAAGATTCTGTAAACTTGAAAAAAAAAAAAAAAATGTGACAATGAGATTGAAACACTGTGTTCACTGTATTTGTAGCTGTGTGGCTGTGCAGATGGGCCTGGCCTTGATCAAGTTTGTAAAATCCCATTTTAACTCCACAAAACTGAACAAGTTACAGCTAATTTGACCATGAATTCTGGAAGGACTTAAAGAGT